AATATTTTTCATCTTCTCTCTGTGTAAATACGACAAAGCAAGAAGTCAAAATCGACCAAATAAGACAGAGAGAGTGCAGAAGACAAATTAGCCATACTTACGCTAATAATTTATTATTTTTTCCAATTACCTTATAATTCATTCTTTGCCCACAAATAAAGTTTAGTTGATAAAAAAAGGCCGGCAAAGTACGACGTATTTATGTTATAATATATGCTATTGTCTACTTTTGGGAGTTATCTATCTTCGCGTCACCATGGCTAAATCGAAAGAGATACATCGTTAACAATTTCCAAGCACATAGAATCTCGTTTTTTCTCTCAACTTTCAGATCCGTGGAAAGAAAGCTGAACAGGACTCTCCTACTTTCAGTGACCTAAGTTCCGGATCTGTCAGCAGTCAAATCACATATCGCGAGCCAGGCCGATCAGCAGGTCAAGTGGACAATTCACTTGCCCCCCCACAACAGACTGCAGCGACCATATGCTGTGCCTCTGGCCTCGTAACACCTTCAAATTTAGAGCATACTCGGCATCGAACCACCTCTGACCAGTTGATTAGTGGCCCTGGTCATGTGGTCCAGACCAATAAAGAGGGTCAAGCGAAATCGTCATGGCAACGTTATCAGTTCTATCCCACTTTTTCTGATCCTGGTTGCCGACTGCCGAGACGGGCTGGAATAGATGTCAGTGGCCGATGCTTTGCTCGACAAACGGCTGCTACAGAAGTGGGATTTCTGTGGTCCTGGAACCATATGCTGCCGAAGCGCTGGTGTGGCCAAGTAACCGATGACGACGAATGCTTGGACCACATGTTGGCTGACTTTCGCCGTTTCTGTTCTGCAGGTGTCAATAACGAGACATGCCCTTGCCTGAGCTCAAGTAAGACCAACGACGCTGAGGACCGACGTTTAGCTGACTTTTTGGATGCATTTATGGTCAGCCCGATGGCTAGAATTAATCTGCCCTAGATTAGTTCTTACAACAACACAATATCTATCCCCAGAACCCCTTTCTAATTTTCCTTTAAGCCAATACTCTTCCGTTTACATCTTTAATTGATCCTTATAAGTTGCCTATTTTTACACTGAGACAATCGTATCTCGCTGTCCTTCCAATGAACCTCCTTATTTGACTGTCCATATTACGTCTCCGCACAATGATGTACATATCCGAATAAACATATACCCAGGCGTTCCTTTATCTAATCTCGATTGACATTTTTTACTCGCCCCTGAGACAGAGCGCAATCATACTCAGTCTCATCTTGCTTGTTTTTCAAAGAAGATATCTCCATCGTGCTTACAGTTTCAACCTTGATCCTGAAATTTCACTTTTCAGTTAGCCCAATAACGGCTTTAATAGTGGAGATTCTACTCAAATACATCCAAAGTTGCCATCTTTTTTTCTCTGCCTGCCATTTTTATGCATGAACAAAGATTGTTCCTAATCTAACTTTAGATAAAGATTACCTTTTGACTTGTTTAAGTACCATTTATACGTGATCTCATATACCAAGAATAAATCATCACGTACTTTCGACCTTTCATGCTAGTTATGTAATAAAATCCCAATTATTTCGTATACTATGTAAGATGAATCGATGTGTAAATGAACTCGCTATCATCTTTTTTGTGATCAGGCTCCCAAAGGCCTACACTGTAGTCTTCAGCAGAATTATAAAATATAAGATCCCAAATAAGGTTGTATGGAGCATGAATGCTAGTGAGCCTAGGGTATAGTTGGTGAAATTCTGCCTTCAGGCTGAATGCGCAAGTGTTGCATTAATGTGGTGCTAGTCCGAGAAAAATTAATTTCGCAGATACAACG